AAATAAATAAACTTAACCTCCAAACTCTTCAGATGGAATAACTCACAAACTCACAAATGTCTTACCCTACCTGATAGTGATGATCTGCCCAAAGTCTAGCTCGTAGTTGTTGACTTGAGCTATAAAGATGGCTGCCACGGCCTCATATAGGGCAGTGCCGTCCATGTTGATAGTGGCGCCAACAGGAAGTACGAAGCGAATGATGCGGCGGTCGATGTGGTTGTTCTCCAGGAGGCACTTAAATGTGATAGGCAGCGTGGCAGAGCTGGAGTACAACACAAGAGTTTGTCGTTTACATTTGTGCTACTTTCAGTTCTAGGCTGGAATTCACCACTCAACTTTTCACCAGAATTCAGAATTTACATTCTGGACAGTCAGAGTTGACAGATTTCACAAGATGTTGCATAGAGTATGACATCGGCACAGACTCCAATATTTTATCTTCAGACTATGATTCCTTCTGGCTGGCGCGTATTAAACATGTTTGATATTTAGAGTCGATTTTAGAACATTTAGAACATTACACATTTTTTTCATATGTCATGTGTCTTCTAGCAAGGAGGCACCTGTTTCTGCGTCTGTTGTGTTTGGAACAACTTGAAAGTCTGGTAGTGTATGATCCTTAGTCTTTAATGTGTGTGATGCCCAGTTGGTAAGTGAATGATGCCAAGCGTGTTGATTTGAAGTTGTGTAGTGTATTCCTGTCTTTAGTTTGTTATCATCTAGCAGGACTTATCTCAAAACATGAATTGCATAAAGGTGCTGTTACCTGGATGCAGTAGCTAATGAGATGAGCAGGGCCTGTAAAATCCCTCGGATGTAGACGATGGGGCTCTTTTTCGTAATGAAGAAATACATGGAAGGCAGAATGAACAGGCCGTGAAGCACCAGCCCCATGACCACAGTGATAGCGTAGAAGCCCAGTTTCTTTCCCATAGCTGAAGGGTCGTCCATTTCCAAGATCTTCCCAGCCACCAGAAACACAATTCCAAATGGGAAGTACCTGTAGTGTTACACCAGAAATAGATGGCATTCTGAGGTGGGATTCACCAAACAGTCGCACACGAAATGTAAGTGAGTTTTTTTTTTGTACTGAAACTGTGCTGCATATTCAGTATTTAAATGAAGTCATTGATATTACTTTGATATTCACAAACATGCTTTTTCTATGTAAAAAAGGTTCATTGGAGGCTAAAGAATTGTGCCTAGCACAATTTGCATCATGGTTTTACCACCAAATGAAACTACATGGTAAAGGAACCTATAAGTTCTATATAAAAGTGCACATTCTATGCAAGTAAGAATATTATGAACAAGAATATCATAGTTTCACTTAAATGAGACTGAAATTATTCTATTTATACATTAGTGTCAATGTTAATTGGCCAGTGCAAACTGGCATCGGTGCTAATTTGATACGTGTTTGCGCAATTGCCTAAACTACAGCATTCGCTGTGAATCGGGTGCTAAATCAGCACAGTTGGCACATGCGAAAAAAACTTTCAGCATTTTCAATTTTTCATTCTAAGTGAATCTACCCTTTAGAGTATTTACAACAGGGACCTTTAAAATCACATCTTATTAGCTTTTTGACATGTTTGTGGTCTTGTACTTTTAAATATTCAATATCTGCCATAAAAAAGATGACATTCAGTTGAAAAAAATCTAAAATGCTTAATGCATTTCTCAGAAATTAAATAATTGAAAATTTAAAACAAAATCTAATTTTGAGGCACAAACAGCACTGTTTGGTGAGAATGACTTAAACATGAAGAACATTCGACAACTACTTAACTCTCTATGTAGTTATTTGGTTTATTGTCATAGTGAGACATACATTAATTTTGGGTTTCAGTTACAAGATGACGCATGTCTTTACCATATAACAATGGCCACAATTTTCAGCACAGCTTCATTCAGACTCTGGCAGAAGTTGACAAGAGCGCTGCCATTTGGTCCCATTCTTCCAAGCATGATTCCTAAATAACAAGAATACTTGAGTATTTATAAAACAGACTGGATAAAGCTGTGGAATTTCAGACGTTGCTGCTACAACTCACCCATAGTAGCTGAGAAGATCACGATACCGAGGACGTTCATGCCCTCACTGGTGCCAGGAAGCGTTCTGAAGACCACATCCGGAGGTGGCGTCAGGTCAAGGGAGAAGTTCTGGACGTCTGTGCCATTGTCATCCTGGATTCCATAAATGAAGATCCGTCTGGTGGTGGTGTCTAGTACGTCCTGACCAATGGTGGGTTTAGACTTCATGATAGGGATGCTCTTTGTGCGATACTACAATTCATAATTAACATGGCATACATAAAACAAATTAACAGCAAAATCATAGTAATGCGAAAATATAAAAGCCAAAGGTACAGTAGACAACATTATGTATGCAATTCTGGCCGATATTAGCTGATAATTATTTCCATGTTATGGCCGATAATTTTGTCAAAATAAATGAAATAAAACACTAAAAGCTAAAATTGATAAAGTGGATTACAGTGATCACAACATTATAATGTGCAGTATGAAAAATTTATATTAATTTTGAGAAAAATAATAAAGATCATATTTAACAGTTTTTAATTTATTCGTGTTTTTAAAGATTGACAAATGGGGAAATGAGGACATGTTAATTTATCGGTTATGACTGCTTATGGTTTTTTATTTAAAAAAAAAACGTTAATACTGGCCGGTTACAGTTACATATCCTGCATCTCCACCTAAAATTACATTCTTATGTGGATGGTATGTATAAAAGGGAAATTTAGGTGTTATTTAGGAATTAACATTTCAAGTCAATATCAGTAAATATCTTTAATATGAAATTTTTCTGGTTTAACAGCTCAAGCACTGAAGGCACAAACTAATGGGAAAACATAAAAACTCACTTGCTGAAATGTTGCTTGGACCAAGTTGGCTGGGAACATGTTACTGATGGAGGAAAGAGAGGATTTTTATGAATATTATTATGAATATTAATGTTTATTACACAGAATCAGTGGCTTTCTGATTTTTCCTAACCTGCTGAAAATACTAAACTGGTTTATTCCGATTATCTACTAATCTGGTGCTGGTCAGGCTGGTCTGTGATGTCAAAATGCAATTTTATGTTGGCATATGTTCTTTCCCATCACCAGCAAAACATAAGTGCATTGCAGAAGTGTGCATACTGTGACACAGTCAACTAATCCTAATCCAAGTGTCTTGCTTTAGTTTGCTTATCAACACACTGTCTGGTTAGCACAGAGGGCCCCAGATACGCCAATCCCAATAACCTCTCAAAGGAGGTCACAAACATCACATGCTAATTTGGTACCTCTCTAATTCTACCTGTCTAAGACTTTCATCATGAAATGCACTGTTAAAAAATAAACTTGTGGCTTTATGTAAATAGTCTCCTCCTCCATCACCTCAATGAGGGCCATATGGTCTCAGGCTCAGATTAGTAATCAGTTTAGGCTCCAGTCTTCACCCTACACTCCAATGACACAGAGCCATGCTCTGTCACGCAGCACAGGTGACAGGTGGGGCAGAAATACCTTATTCCTTAGTCCTCAGCCAATCCTAAACTGAGCCATGTCTAAGCTCTCCTGATCCCTCAACATCATAGCCACTTAACATCTCCACGGAAATTCAGGCTGAAATAAAGTAATTATGTCTTTTAATCAATAGGGCATGTAAAGGTGCAATGCAGTTGCCTTTATGTGTAATGTGATTTATGTTTAGATTTCTGAGGAATGACTATAAAGTAAGTAGATAACAATAATAATGCTCATAATCAATAAACTCATATACAGTACAACACATGCATCCTTGCATACAAAATGTGTGGCTCACTTTTAAAGAACATTGTCCTTAATACCTATGCTTTAACTAACTAACTAACTAACTAGTATTTCAAACAGTCAAGTCTGTCAATAGGAATGTCAAGGTTTGGGCTGTCTTGTATAACTCCATATGAATTAACAAAAACTAACTAACTAACCTATTTCCAACAGTCAAGCCTGTTGATAGGAATGTCAAGGTTTGGGCTGTCTTGTATAACTCCATATGAATTAACAAAAACTAACTAACTAACTAACTAACCAACCAACCAACTAACCTATTTCCAACAGTCAGGCCTGTTGATAGGAATGTCAAGGTTTGAGCTGTCTTGTATAACTCCATATGAATTAACAAAAACTAACGGTTACACTTTACTTGAAGGGGTGTGCATAAGACTGACATGACACCTTCATAATCATGACACCAACATAATCATGACATGACACCAACATAATCATGACATGACATATGTCATGAATATGAAGGGTTTTTATGCATGTTTATGACAACTGTCATTAAGTGTCATTCACTCAGTTATGTCATTTCAAAGGTGACATTGTTTGAGATGTCTTTGTTATGGGCTATGGTTAGGGGTAAGGGTAGGGGTAGGGTTAGGTCAAATAATGTCATATTTGCATTAAAAATGACATAACTGAGCGAATGACACTTAATGACAGTTGTCGTAAACATGCATACAACCTCCTTCATATTCATGACATGTGTCATGTCATGATTATGAAGGTGTCATGTCAGTCTTATGCACACCCCTTCAAGTAAAGTGTTACCAAACTAACTAACTAACCTATTTCCAACAGTCAAGCCTGTCAATAGGAATGTCAAGGTTTGGGCTGTCTTGTATAACTATATATGAATTAACAAAAACTAACAAACTAACTAACAATGTCCACCAGTCAAGCATTATGGAATGAATGTCAAAATCTGGGGCTGACTTTCCCCACACAAGGACTAACTAACATTTATTCCCAATAGTCAAGCATGTTGATAGGAACGTCAAGATTTGTCCTCCTAATGACCCCATATGAATGAGTGAAACTAACTAAAACTACTTAACTAACCTATTTCCAACAGTCAAGCCTGTTGATAGGTATGTCAAGATTTAGGCTGTCTTGTATAACTCCATATGAATTAACAATAACTAACTAATTAACTAACTAACCTATGTCCAACAGTCAGGCCTGTTGATAGGTATGTCAAGGTTTGGGCTGTCTTGTATAACTCCATATGAACTAACTAACTAACAATATCCAACAGTCAAGCATTATGGAATGAATGTCAAGATCTGGGGCTGACTTTCCCCACACAAGGACTAACTAAGTAAGTAACTAACATTTATTCCCAATGGTCAAGCATGTTGATAGGCACATCAAGATTTTTCCTCCTAAGGACTCCATTTGAATAAGTGAAACTAACTAAAACTAACTAACTAATTAACTAACCAACTAACCTATTTCAGTCAGGCCTGTTGATAGGAATGTCAACATCTGTCTTTCCCCTCCATATCACTCCATATGAACTAACCAACCAACCAAGCAAACATTTCCAACAGTCAAGCATGTCTGTTTTTCCCCTCTTGAGAAACTAACTAACTTCAGCGTGGTGGAAGGAATTTCAAGATCTGGAGCTGTACTTCCCCTCCTCAGGACTCCATATGAACTAACTAACCTCAATTGTCAAGCATAGTGGAAAAGATTTATGAACTAACTGACTGACTGACTGACTGACTGACCGACTGACCTCAGTAGAACTAACTAAGCTCAATAGCCAAGAATGGTGTAAGAAATGTATGAACTAACTAACTAATTGACTGACTGACCTCAGTAGTCGGAAAGAATTGTCAATCTATCTATCTATGCATGTCCTTTTTGACACTAACTGTGACAAGTTCC